TAGAGGGACTGTAGATAGAGTATTAATAAAAAAAAAAAAAAAAAAACCTCTTGGTATCTAACACAAGGAAAATTACTAGCCCAGTAAGTCGCAGATAAGCGATGCTAACTGGATAACATATTTACCATGCTAGAGGCATAATTGTGAATGCAGAACAAAAATGTAATTAAAAAATGGATTACTATGACTTAAAATCAAAGCAACACTGTAAACAGGTAAATTTAGCTAAACATCAGCAACAACAACAACAACAAGAAAAAATACTAAACAATTTGCTAATGCTGGCAATACTCTAGACTGGTAAAAAGGTAAAAAGTATAAAGCTTACTGAATATAAATAAATTATAGCTTAAGTAGCTGCTGAATGGGGATAACTACTGAGGAGTTGGAAAGCTACAGATGAGGTGGCAGAAGGAATGAAAAAATAATGAGCTTAATTAACTAAGTAGTTAAATATGTTAGTGGGAGTTGAGATAGAGGAGGAGGAAAGGGTAAGGGAGATTGGCGTAGAGTTGTTAGCGCATTCGAGGGATCAGAAATTAGAGAAATTGAGATTAGATAATGCAATAAATTAGAATTATATTAGCCGTATGCAGTGAGCTGGCGAATTATTGAAAGTGTTAGGGGGAGTTGAGATAGAGGAGGAGGGAAGGGTAAGGTAAGGAGGAGGGAAGGGTAAGGTAATTGATGTGAAACTGGTATGGAGTTGTTAACGCATTAGAGGGATCAGAAATTAGAGAAGTAAAAAAAAAAAAAAAAAAAATTATATAATATAATACAATAAATTAGAATTATATTAGCCGTGTACAGTAAGCTGGCGAATTATTGATTATACATTGCAGGAAATTAAGATTATATTAACATGTAAAACACAGTAAATGAGAATTATAATACAAAAATAATGTAGAAGATTAAAGTTATGTTAACCGAGGAGCAGAAAACTGGAAATCATAAAGGATATACAACGAAAAGAATAATAATAATGCTGTGCTAGAATAAATCAGTCTTGTAACACTGATAGCACCAGGGGTTCCGGAGTAATCCTTTGTAACGATTGAGTAAATGGCTAAAAAAGTGATCTTCATTAAAAACTATATAAAATCACACACGCTTGGCACACACTCACAAAAATTGTACAAGAGGAGAGCGAAATGTATCCACTATTCAACCGTATGATGATTGTGGATGGATTACTTATAGATTTTACACAATCGATTTATATAAAACAGGTAACAATCGGCACTTCACTCAGTAAAACAATGGAAATTGCGTGGTATCCATCGCGAGAAACACAATAATTAAAAATGTAATATCTCCGGAACTGCTGAAGATATCCACTCGATTTTTGCACCGAATTAATCCACAGATTATGCACTTTCCGATAATATAACACTTAGAATCCTAGGATGAGTAATTCCGTTGATGACTTTGGCTTACTACGGAGCTCGTGCATTTCGCGGCAACAATCTAGTGAACCTATACTGGTCTCAGTTATCAAGGTACTGCATAATAAAGAAGCAGACAATAATCAAACTGATAATATTCTAGAAAGAAGTAAAACTTCAAAAACCTTCCAGAAATCAGAGTGCGCTCTTTCAGAAGCATGGATTCCGAAAATCTAAACATTGATGTGAATTTGGAAGAAGGAATAGATATTCCAAGGAACGTACTTCCATGGAAAACAAACCCGGGGGGGGGGACAGCACCGGAAATGGCCACCCTCATTTCATGGCTTCCACCAAAATCTTTATAACATCAAAGATTTGATTGATTTACAGCTTTCTGCATGGTTGTTGATTCAAGATACCATGCTCAAGCCAGAACAACAGTGTAAGTGTCAGAGGTAATCTTTTACTAGGAAAATAAAATGCTAGGTGAGCATGGCAATGGAGGTGACCCACTGACCATTGAATACCCTTCCAATATGGTTTCTTTAAACACAAGGCTCCAAGCTGTTGCTGTCCAAATAAAAATACTGAATTTTGTTTCAGTTTGTTTCCTGTATTTGTCTTCAAATCACAATATCAATCAGTGATATTTAAATGATCTGATAAAACAGCTACCTCAGCTGTTTATCATTTAAGGAGACTTAAACGGCCATAGTCTTCTTTGGGGAATTAAGGATACAATTTCCCGAGGTGAACAAATTGAGTGGACAATTGAAGACTCGCCCTTTGTCTCCTCAGTAATGGACAAGACGCGTACTATCACAACCCTACAAGGACATTTCATACTCATGATCTTGAAATCTGTTCATCTCTTTTGCCTTTTTGTACATTTAATGTTGGAAATGATCTTTACAATAGCAATCATTTCCCTATTTGTTTTTATCTCTCAATTGAAAAGAAGTACATTCCATGTCAAAAACATCCTGTTTTATACTTGATAGGATAGTCGGGGAATGCTTCTCATTTCTCGGAGAGCTCGTAGAAAAAATGGTAAAAGATAAAAACAAATAGGAAGGGGGATGAGCACTTTGAGTGTGAGCTCTTTGGGAGCATGGAAGAGAGAATAGATGTTCTGATATTCCATGGGAAAAAATAGCACCAGAAAAGCAAACATTAATCATAATGGCCAGTCTCATTTCATGGAATTGCCATGGCTTGCATCAAAATATTGTTAACATCAAACATTTGATCGATTTACAGCATCCTGTGTGCTTCCCAATTCAGTTATCCTTCTCGCACTATGCAGTCGGGTGTGGGAGGAGCATGTCTTTCGCAGTGTGTGAAAGAAAGCTATTGCCATTCTGCTAGCTAAGCCAGGGAAAGATCTGAAGAATCTTGCAAATTATCTGTCTGTTGCACTTTCCAGCTGTCTCTGCAAACTATTAAAAAAATGGTAAACTGCCGCCTAATCTATTATTTATTTGAGGAGGAAGAACAACAACAGTAAAAAATAAAAAACAATGCAATCTCACCACATTAGTGGTTTCTGCAAAGGTAGAGTAATCATCAATAATATACTTCTTTTGGAAATATCCATGCATAAAGCCTTTGCCAAAAGAAGCCATCTAGTCTCTGCAGTTTTTTATATAGACAAGGTTTACGATAAGGCATGCAGATGTGGCATTCTGTGTGATCTTCATGCCAGTGGCTTGTATGGTAACCTGCCTATTTTCATGTGGAATTTTTTAGGGCAAGTACTTTCAAGTCAGGATTGGCTCTGTTTTGTTAAATGCTTTGAACAAGAAGAGGGTGTGCTTCAAAGCTGTGTTCTGAGTATTACCTTATTCAGTTTAAAAATAAATTTTCTTCTAAAAGAACTTCCTGCAACCATTTTAGGTTCATTTTATGTTGATGACCTTCAAATAAATTTTCATGGTGCACATATGAGATATGTGGAGAGAGACAGTTCCAGATCGCACTTAGCAGGATCCAGAAATGGTTAAATAAACATGGATTTGTATTTAAAAAAAAAAAAAAAAAAAAACTGTACATGTTCATTCTTGCAGAAAACATAAAATCTTCATCCTGAGCTTCACTTTCAGGGATCTTTGATTCCTGTTGCGTCCTTGGTGAAAATTTTGAAATGTTATGTTAGATCAAAAACTGACCTTTCTTTAATGTGTACTGTACTTCAAGAAGATGCTTAACCTTTTAAAAGTGCTAGCTAATGCCTCTTGTGTGAATTGTTGCTTTGCATTTATAGAGCATTTGGTTACTTAAAATTGTTTGTGGTTTATGGTTATGCACGACCTTTTGTCTTACTAAACTCAATCCTGTTCATCATCAGGCCCTCCAGGTCTTTTCTAGAGCATTTAGGGCATCTGCAGTGTGGAATCTGTATCTTTATTGCTGTGGATCGTCATTTCAGTCGAGGCATGAGTAACCATCTCTCTATTATTATTTCAATATTTTATTCCAGTCTGGCCATCCATGTAAGCTGCTTTTGCTTGATGATGTGTGAGTGTCTGTCTGAGACATGAACATCTGGTGTACCTTCTTTCTTTTTAAGAGTTCATCTGTTCATTGAAGAACATAGCATGACTGATGTTTATAGCCAAGCAGTAAAACATTTTGAAATCCCACCTTGGAAATGAGCACAAATCCAGATTCTTGATGCATTTTACCATCTTTACAAGAGAAATACTAATGTGTTCATATACAGACATATATTTCTTGAGCATAGTTATAAATATAATATATATATATATATTCTTATATTCGTGGATGAGTTCAAAGGAACTAATCATGTTGGAGCATCTTACGTAATTTGCATTCACATGGAGGGCATTCATTTGCATAATGTTTGCTCAGTCCTGACCTTTGAATTACCTGCTGTATATTATACTCTTCACTTCATTTCTAAACTATGTAGTGGAAAGTTTATAATTTATTACAGACTCCTCTAGTACCTTAAAGACACTTCTGACACGCAGAATCCAGTTGTTGATGTGATAAAGCTAAATTTGAACTTGAGGAAATGTGGTTTTCAGATATTTTACTGCTGGGCTTTCAGACATATAGGAATAAAAAGCAATGAAGTGGCTGACTTTACAGTTAAGTCTGGCATTAAACTGTCCTGTCAGTTTTAAAGATGTACAGGTTCTATTACACAGCACTGCAGTCACAAGGAAATTTATAAATGACCCATGAATGAAAGTCTTGTATTTCACCTTTTACAAATGATTACAAATGAGAACTTGATTTTATTGATAGGTTTAAAAGAAACTTTCATATCATTTGAAGCATTTGATAAAGAGAGGACTAAGTTTTCCTCTAGTACACATATTAGTATTTCCTAAAATTGTGCTTGGCTGATCTTTCATTTTAGGTAGTAGTAAATAACATCTTTCTAATACAGTTAGTATATGGTATGAATTTTTTTTTGCAGCTGGGGTGATACAGAAATACTTTATATGTGTATATTTTATTCAAATATAAATTAGATATTCAAGTTTTAAACCCTTAACAAGATTAAGTTTTTTTTAAAATGTCTTGTGATGTATGTACAAGTGCAAGATTTGTTTCTATAAAAATGTATTTAAATTTTGATAGGGAGAAGTAAAAGAAGTTTACCGCAGAAATTTATTAAAGAGAATACAGCGACACCCTCAGGATTTTGATTCCCTAGAAGTTCAGAGTAAGCAATTTTTATTTTTACTTTATATTTTATTGGTATGGGTAATCAAGGCCAGAGTTGTCGCCAAATGTTTTGCTAAACTGGCCGAAGAGATTGGTTCATATGAAGTCACCAATGTTTACAAAAAGTACAAGAATGCCTTTTCAAAATTGGCAGCAAGAATACAAATTCTAAAGATAACGTGTTTTTATTATTTCTGTATTTACCATGGATATGGAAATTTGAAACTTATCTAATGACAAAACATCTTCCATATAATTTTTTCAGAAACGAGGAATTATTCATTCTAAAAGAAAGTTCTACTCCAATTCGAAGGAAACGCCAAAATGGAGATGTGAGGCCATATCATGCCGAGGGGGGAAAAGGTTGCATTCTCAAAATTGGTCTGAAGTCCCGAGAATCAGTTTGCTAATGGCAGTTTCATTTGTGCATGTTTAGAATTTACTTCTTTTGAATTTGGTCAGTATCATCTTGATATGAATCACTGCTCTGTTGCTGATTGGAACAGTTTACATAAGTGAAATCAGTGGTCATGCATTAACATCTGGACTCCCAGTTAAAATAGGTGGCACTGGTAATGTTACCGAAGTTGATGAAAGTCTGTTGTTGTCTGATGTTTTCAGACATTCTAAATGATATGCGCAGTTTTGTGACTCTGCATTAGTTCGCTTTTTTGTTTTTTTTTCTTTTTGGTTTGTTTGTTCAGATTTCTTTGGGAAGTTGTTTAATTTACATTAAAAGTTTCTGATTGTATGAATATCTGTTATGTTCTTTTTTTTTTTTTTTTTCCCTTGGATTTTTCTTCAGCTTAACCATTTGTAAATATTTTGGCAATTATTTTTATGCTTCAAATTTTCCCCCAAATCGTCAGCTTTGGGCAATATCTGAATTTGGTCCTGATAACACAATAGTACCTTTTTCTTTTAGGAAGATACAAGGGGGGGAATCTTGCATTTTAATTAATCAGATTTTTAATCTGATATAGTTGACTGTTTGATATAATTTTAATCTGATATATTGAGGATTTTCATAATTTATAAGCAATGTTGATTTCTGCTTAATATCCAGTTGAATTTTTACTTAAATTTACAATCTAGTTTATGTATGATTTAAAAATAGTGTATAGATCCTCTTTATTTTGTTCATTCAGTATTTTAAAGAAATATTTTGCTGCTGATTAATTTGATGTTTTGCCTAGGCATTTGCTATTTCTCAGTATGTGTTTGTGTCGAAATATGGACTGTATGAGGCGATAATGTCTTTTAGTAGTTTTATTAAAACTCAACAATAATATACGTGATACATTACTTAGAACCAAAGTTCTCAACCAATGACACCGATACGACTTGGTGTCTGCCAACAAATGAACTAACAATTTTCCCGCCTAGTTGGCGGCATTCAGTTTGAATGGTTTCACAATTCTAAAATAGCTAGTAACAGTTTTAGCTAATTTATAAATAAGGAAAGTGATTTATTTAATTAAATTGTACAAAGTCCAAAAACCAGATGTCCAATATCCAGATTAATCTAAAATTTGGATTTCTGGATCAGCAGCAAAATTTAAAAAAAGAAAAAAATATGCTTTATGCTTGAACATTTGGAATTTTATCATAATAAACCCGTGGAGAGTTTCAATTCTTTATTTCACTTTAGCACTGATGCCAGCCTGGTGAATAATTGTTTATTATTTTTTGCTTTCATCACCACATCACTATCAACTGCAGCTTCAGAAATAACTCATGCAGTAATGTCTAAATTATTTTTATGGTAATTTTTAATATTAGTAATTGAATGCTAAATGGTATGGTAATCTTTTTTATTGACATTTCACATGCTCATGAATAGAACTTTAGCTAACTTTGATGTGAAGTATTGAGTGTGTTGATGAGAAGAAATTTAGCAGAAATTTTTTCCATGTGCAAAAATATGGATTTTTTAAATGATACTCATTGGCTAAAAGATAACATTCTGTCTGAAATGAGAATAACTGATTTGTTATTTGTTTAAACCCAGGAATTGTTTTAACCTCACTGCGCAACAAAATTTTTAGAATTCAGAAAGTGCTTGGAAGTTTGGACTCACAGAGACTGCAGTGAGCTGCAAAATGTCACTAATCTCACTGCAAATCTTTGGAGGAGCTGCATCCTTGGCAAAATGTTAAGTCCCGATAGTGCAGGAAATAGCCATAAGTATACTGAATAAGTAAACTGATATAATTCAGGCTTAACTCCATCAGTGTGCGATTGAAACAAGACAAAATTTAGCGGAACAATATGTTTTCCGTCACTAATCTTAAGATACATAGCAATGTATAACAGATGCCAGCTAAGCTTTATGATGATTGCTGTGAGCAAAAAAACATAATTAATGGGAAGAATAACATTCACTTTTCTACGTTCCCTTTTTTGCCTAATTTGTGATGAATGTTGTTGCCAGCAATGGGATCATTGATGTTTCTTTAAATAATAAGTCCAGATAAGGAGGAAAAAATAAATGATCTATTATGAAAATAAGCATGGTAATAACTGAAAATGACTCAATGTGAAGATGAATATCAAACATTTTCTCCTTATTGCATGAAATAAATTGTAGAGTTCCTCAAATCACCTTCAGGGTAAACCATAATTCATAATTCAGCTAAATGCTAATCTAGCTCAAATGTATTTTAACTCAAATCTATTTTAACGCATGCACCCCTTTCGTCATTAGAAGATTATCCCTCCTCCCTATCTTTTTCAAAACTTAATACATTTACTTAGATTATTTTTTGTGTTTTGGAAATAAAATACAAAAAGCATAGTAAATGTTGACAAATACCAAAACTTAAATAAAAGTAGTTTATATTCATAAATATTTAACAGCTAAATAAAAGGTTGATATCATCCCTCCCCCCCCCAACTGGTTGAGAAGACCTGTGCTAATCTAGGCACAGGCTAGGAGTCTTATTTTCTAGATAAAATTATTCATATGAAAGTCATATTTTCTCTATTTACTGTGTGTCAGCTTGGAAAACGAAGATTCAAATTAGTAAGTAGAATAAAAAAAATACCTTCATTGAAAGTCTAGTGAAACCAAATTTCGCTATTTTTATACAGTCAAAAGTCGTTAATCCGGACTCGTCGGGACTTCAGCGATTCCGGATTATTGATTTTTCCGGATTATAGATCATCAGTTTAAATCGCGTAAGATGGCATGCAGAAATTCTAAAATTAAAAATATGAAACCGTAATTTATGAAGTAAAGAACAATTATGATCTAAAGGGTATCAAAATTTACAAAAAAAGCTTAATATTTATTTGTTTACTTTATTAAACATTTCTTTCAATGTAAGTTGTTTAAGTTGCTTCGTTTTATGTGATAATACTTTCTCTTTAATTCTATAAAGAGACATAATTTTTTGTACAGTTGCAAAGTTCCGCTGTTCAAGTCCCGTTAATTGCTGTGCCAAGAATACTGACTAACTTGTCAATCGAAATTTTTTCGTTTTCACTAACCTCTCTGTCACATTCTTCATGTCTTTATCCATTTTTTGCAGCAATTCCACTTTTTGTTTGATGGACATCGAAACATACTTTCGTTTTGTATGATCCTTTGGGAGCTCCAGAATCGGAAATTCTATTTGACATAATCGAAAGTTCAAGTTTACTTTTATAGTATTGCTCTTACAGTCTGCAAAAAATAATAAGCCGGATCCAATTCGAAAATTAAGGAACAATGCAATCATCAACATTAACTGAAATAGATAATTAGATAATTTTAGATTATACCGTCCGTTATACATAAAACGCGCACGCGAAAACGTATTCTGCGCTTGCGCACACGCAGATGCGCAGTCGTAAGTGGTCTTACGCGCACGCGTAAACACCTATGCGCATGTGTCAACGCGGCGCATGCGCAGAAATTTTTTAGCTTTGATGTCCGGATTATAGATCATTCCGAATTATGGGTGTCCGAATTAACGACTTTTGACTGTATTGAGATAAACAGAGTCGTAGCTAGGGTTTTCAGCGCCCAGGGACAACTGAAAATTTCGCACCCCTACTGCTTGCCAAGGATGGAAAACATTTCATTCTAAAATGTCATAACATCAGTTTGGCGCCCCTTGAATTGTGTGCCCGGGGACAGATGCCCCCCCTTGCCCCCCTCTAGCTACGCCTCTGGAGATAAAAATAAAACAGATTCTGTGAGTTGAAGCGTTGCTCTTCAGTGACAAATCAATATTAAAATTCTATTCCAGATGAAGGGCCATATGCAAAATTTTCCATGATGCAAATGGATAATTTTCATTTTTTTCTGCATGGTTCTTGATGTAACTGAGTAATTCAGCCAATATTTTTTGCACTATAGTAATTTATGAAGACTTGATCTTGTTACATAACTGTATAGTTATTTTATTTATTTATAGTATAGCTGTAAAATTTTAAAAGAAAGTAATTTATGTTACTGATGACTTGTGATTGAAAATTTGGCAACTGCTATTCTAATAATAAAAATGAGATTTTGATATTACTTTGAATAATTTAAATTTTACTGTTTGGTTATCCTGGTTTAGAATTATTGATTGTGAAGATTAATGTTTTGAATTATTATTTTTGTTTTAGTTTTCTTATGTTTCACTCCTTGAATGGCATGACTGCCTTTCTCTAGTTATAAGATTTTCTGTCACTTAAAACATATTAATGTAGCTTTAAATTCAAAATATTTTGCTTTTTAATTTTTTGAATCAAGTCATCTTAATGAAAGAAAAAGCTTATGAAACCACCGACTAAAATAGTAATTATGTAAATTTAGCTAATAAGCTTTGGTTTTTTGATTATGGCAAAGCATTCGAGGGCTATCTGCCTAAGGGAAGGAAGGCCTTCGTGAAGCACTGTTGCAGGGAAACTTGCTCATGTACATTTGGGACTTATTGCACATACTTAGACTGGCTCATATACACATGGGAAAAACATGAAACGCCCATATAGCCAGCCCGTTCATGGGAATCGAACCTCAGACTGAACTACCAGTGTTCGGCAACTTTACCGCTCGGCTGCTAGTGGGCCTTTAGCTAATATACTTCTTCACGAGTAAATCCAAAATTCCGTATCTCAGCGAGTTAACAGTATATGCTTGGGAATGGAAAATATTTTATTCCATCTCTTTGATCCATCCCTTTTTGAGCAGCTAATATTTTGTATGTACTGAAGATAAATATTTTCACAATAAAGCTTTTCTCTTGTATTTTATTATCTTTAAATATTTTTATACATACAAAATATTTCCAGTCGAAATAAAGAATCTAATATGACTATAAATGGCATCAGTTACAGGTAGTGCTGTGTAGAATTCTTAATGTTTGAGTTTATATCATTTGATATCTATGGTGGCTGAGATGTAATATGATCTTTATACAACATTCTAAATGTGTAAAATTTTACAATGATTTTTCATTAAAAATTGGTGTGAACTGTTGTGAATTGTTAAGTTAAAAAAACCATCTGAATCTAAAGAAATTTTGGAAAGTAATTAGTAACTTTAAAGTTTTTAATATAATTAATATAAATAAATAATTAATATAGTATCATTATTTTGTATTAATATAGTATCATTATTTTGTATTAATATAGTATCACCATTCTTATTATTTATTGTTTTATTTTCAGTTGCATTAAAAACTTTGCAAGTCAAATCTTTATTTGAACATAAAATACTTAAAAAGGAGGTAGGTAAAAATACTATAGTCTAATCTTTCATGTTATAATCATGGAACAATTTATACCTTTTATCGGGAACTTTTTTTCATTATTTTACTTTTTAAAGTTGTAATCAAGTTGATAATATCAAGGTTTGTCTATTCTGTGTATGAAGACTTTACTGATAAGTTTTTATTAAAATAACAAACAGCCAACTTTCCTTTTGTAGATACAGTTAACAAACAGCCAACTTTCCTTTTGTAGATATAGTTCTTAATTTTTGTTAAGCAGTGTTTTGGTGATTATTTTATTTTTGAATACTTCATAGATGTTATTTGTAAAAATGCTTTTTGTACTACATACTAAATTTAACAAAGTTTTTCCTCATTATTTGATGTAGTTGTTTTATCCCACATCAGTTATGTGAGATTGGAAGTATGATCATTTCAAAATTCATCCTTTTTTTTTTATTAAGTGTCAAAAGTATTTGTCAGAGCATTCCATCTATGTTTGAGAATTAAAAAAAAAATGCCTTAATGTCTAACTTGTATATTATTTTAATTTAATAATTTAATATAAAAACTGTTTGTTTCTCTTGATAATTTTTTTTTTCCCCATTTTAACCAGGATATTAGAGGTGGTCGAATCATATTACCAATCATCATACAGAAACGCAACAAGCTCTTAAATAAACTTAGAATCATAGATAATGAGAGGTTTTGTTGGCTGTTGAAAGAATTACAATTGGAATATAGTCCAGAGCCATTGCGATTCCATTTAGAAAAGTACTGTAAAAAGTGGGATCTTCGACGATTAACAAAAGAATACTGTGAGAGGACGATTGCTGATAAAAAGGCTGCTTATCATGAAGCATTAAAAGAACAGCAGCAGGCTTTCTTAAAAGAAAAAGAAGAAATCTTAGCGTGGATTGAAAAAGAAGAAAAAGAATTAAATAATTAAGGAAAAAATAATAAAGTGTGTAAATTACTATATGTTGTGGGTAACATATTTTGTTTTAAAAAACGTAGGAAAAAAAATTTACATAAACATAGATACATGATAGTAAATGTCAAATAGATTATTGAAATTGCAAAAATAAAGTAACTACATTGAATCCTTTTTGACACAGATTACTGAAATTGCAAAAATAAAATAACTACATTGAATCCTTTCTGACAGAGATTAATAGGTTATAAAACCATGTAGAAAAATCATGTTGCATGTGCCAAACTCGCAATACTTGAATTTAGCTGTTAGAAGACAGTAGTGTATTCTGTGTAGAAAAATGTATGAAGTGACATTGTCTCAAGTAGAAGTTCTCAACCAGGGGGGAATAAAGTCAGCCTTTTAATTAATTTTTTTATTTATATTTATAATGACTATCATAAATGAAAAAAAAAAAAAGGTACCATTATCAGTACTTCATCATTTTTGTTTTCAAACATCGAGAGCATTGACAAAATGTTCAGTCAGCTCAGTAAAGAAAAATTGGGTACTTTTCTGTTTCGCCGGCGCAAATCTTGCCAAGCAGACTTTATTGGTGACAACATACAGTATCACATAAAAAATGTTAGTTCTAAAAAATTTTTATTTTGAAGGCATAAACATTTTAATATCGTTTAAAATTTTATAAAAAGCCAATAAAAAAAGACAATAAATTTGTAAAAAGATATTAATTTAAGAATGTACTATGCTTTCATGATTCAACATCCTGATTCGCTTTTTCATATCACATGATCCCAAGTGATCTCATCTCACGTAAACAATGCTACAAAAATCTAATTCTCTCAGTAATTATCTACATTAATTTCAAGTTAAATCTTAATTTGGAATACAAGTTTAAATGCAAGAATTATTTCAATTCGTACGAATAGCTTACTCAGAAATTATGTAAAACTGCAGTGCTTTACTTCTCAAGTGCATTCTCATTAGAATGGATGAATTTAACCCTTGACTTTGCCTTTTCTATATTTTCGCCATCGGGCGAGCGGTGTGATTGCATCCTAATTGACTTAATTACCGCGAATGGTCTTAAGGCATAAAATTGAACTAACTGGTAAAATTTCTATGTAACTGTATGCCAGTATTGAAAGAAACAATCAATCTGTTAAGAAATGGCTGCGACTTGTTTTTGAAAATGAGGCATAAAAGGTTACCAGCGAGGATATTACGTTTGGCATCAGTCGCACCATTATTGGCGACTTTAATGCCTGCGCCGGCAAAACAGAAAAGTACCAAAAACTGGTAGTGATGTGAAATGATCTTTCATAGTTAATATATACTGCTATACATTAATTTTAAAATATGTATTAAAATTAAAATGTAAAATGAAACACCACCTTAAGTATTGAGTTTTAGTTTATGAATATGAAATGTTAACTTGTATTCAGGTTTGTTATTTATTAATATTTTCTATACTCTTTGATGTTTAATTTATAAAACAAGTTAAAATATAATCTAAATTTAAATGAATTTATATGTGCATTTTTTGACTTTTGGAAACACAGGGAGGGGAATGATCTGCTAATGGTGAAATGGGTGCGTAGAACTAAGAAGGTTGAGAATCACTGGCCTAAAGCATAGTTTGCATAGTTTTTGTGGTGCATATGGAGTAAAAACATCTGTTTGCTGTAATGTTGGATATTGAGGAAAGAAGATCACATTTCTGTGATTAGAAACACATCACTGTCGGAATCAGATATCAGTTTTACTAAGTATGGTACTGTACTTTTTTGCTTATGTTCACTTTAACATACTCAAGTCTGTATTTATTATTTCTCTTCATGTACTATGAAGGTCAGTTTGTATGGCTAGGATTTGGACCACATAGTATTACTTAATTCTCAGTCATATGTATTATGCTCATCAGTTTTAGTTTTCATGTATTATGTATGCATTTTTAAGTGTTATGTATGCAGATATTAGGGATCAGCTTTCTGTATTTCTGTACTCAGTATCATGTTAGCTTTTCATTTTAATATTCAGTTTTGTACTTATATATGTATTATCTTGTCTGCAAGTACCATGAAAGAAAATGAAGATGCATGGTTCAATTTGTAAAACAACTCCAGTTTAAGTTTGCACAAGGAACTAAATTATGCAGAAATTTGTTATTTTAGTGATAACAGGTACACAATCTTTTAAATGTTTTTACATAAGAGTTAGGTACATGGAAAGTAATCTGCATTAAATTATGTATAGGCACTAAAAATAAAAATTTAAAAAATTAAATAAATAAAAAAATTTTAAAAATTTTTTTTATCCTCCCCCCTTTCTTTCTTTTTTTTTTTTTTATAGGTTACGTCTTTCCTTCATGCCAGACCAACGACTTTACAAAAGCCTAATAAATATATGACAGTTTTGTCAGGATTAGCATCCGCATGTAGACATTTAGCAAGTCCAGAAAATCCATGGCAGTTAATTTTTCAGGATATTTGTGAAAGGTGTGACAAATATATATGTGTGGAACACGTGATATGTATTTGCAGAAAATATGCAAAATAAATTTAAGTAGCATGATTAACTAGTTTTACAACTGTAGTCTTCTTTTTAAATTTTTTTTTAACCTTTTGTGAATAGATTTTATGGTAGAAAATATAATGAAACGCCCTTGGGTATGACGTACCCTGCATGAGAACACTGTTCATTTTTGTCACTCGAGTAATGCTGCGTTAATCTTCTAAGATTATTATTGGCTGAAGCTTATGTGAGTTATTTGTGTCATGAGCTTTATGTAAGAATCATATGATTTTGAAATGATACAGCTTAGAACAGCTGATTAAAAGCAATTACTATTTTAAGACGGTAAAGGAAATTAAGTAAAAAGTAGAGTTAAAGGACGATCTACAAATTAACCCTTTAATGCACCAATAAAAATTCAGAAAGTGGTATTTTTTCTGCCAGTTGTTTTATTATTTTAATTCAAAACTGTAATGGATATTTTCTGTTGTATTCATATCTGAAAAAAAAAAACAAAAAACTCTTGAATATATTTAGTTAAGTGCACAGAAATAATATATTTTGTATACCTGACTTAACTTGGTTGAGGGCATTAAGAGTTTAAGGTTAATATTTGGATTTTACATATTTTTTATCTTAATATTCTTCTCGCTAGATATAAAAAAAGCCTTTTTAGAGAAAAGACATTACAGCAATAATAAATGAAGAGTAATATTATAACTGAAAATAGATATAAAATTTTGGACTACTTTTTTTTTTTTTTTTTTTTTTATTTGTGTAAAAATTTCAGTACTCAGTCCAATTATTCTTTAGGAAAGATTTTCTTAAGTTTTGTCTCAGAAACAAAAAACTTTTACATACTCATTATATATCCTGAAGTCACAAAATTGCTTCCAAAGAATAAAGTTAGATTTAATTTTAAGTAATTCTCTTGCGCCATTGCTGCAAGGAATGAAATTTGAATTTAACAGGCATTCTCTGTTTGTAAAAAGCAAATATAAAGCTAGTGAATTTAAATGAAATTTAATGCAAACAAATAAAGGATTAATTATTGTTGCAAACTAATCTACAATATCTTTTAAATTCTGAGAGCAAGTGCAAGTATCAAAATCCATGAATAAATATAAAATTAAAATTTCAAAAATTATTTAATCCTAAAAAATTTTATAAAAATGCGTAAGTGAATGATTGTTGAGCAGGCAGGAGAGAGACTTCTTAAAGGAAAGTTGCCTTCAAACCTAACTCTCAATCATTCAATTCGTGTTTCATCATCCGTGTAGACAAGGGTAAAAGTCAATACCAAATGTGGTGTGTTAGTTTGCAACAATAATTAATCATTTATTTGTTTGCATTAAATTTCATTTAAATTTATAAACCTTAACTTTGCTTTTTATGAATAGAGAATATTTGACGTCACAAAATTGTATCTTTTAGCATCATAAATATTCTCTTATGTTAGCTATGCAAATGCTTGCCAACAAGAATAAAAATGACAGGGTTGTCACGCTACCTGGATAAATGGGAAAAGTCGGAGAATTAAAAAATTGACCCAAAAAAGTCAGCGAAAAATCGAGGAATTTATATATTGGTACTATTCCGTTTTGAGGACCGTAAAATTTCAAGTTGTGTAAGTTTAGATAGTTCTATATTTCTTAAGACGCCATTGAAATACTAGTTTAATTTTTAAATCCTTTTTATGATATCCTATGGATTTAACAATTTGGGAATTGCCCATGACGAAAAGTCTGCAATCCATGGTACACTTCGACCAATTTTCACTTAAAAAAAAATTCTTAGAATTGCATGAAAATGGCACTGCGCACGCCCTTAACTTTATCTATATATGCATCGGCCTATTTTCACTTAAAAAATAAAAGAAAATTGACAAAAATCCAATTGTTTTTACCCTTGTAAAAAGCGCCAAACAAATAAGTGAGCGATTCTGCACTTTACTGAGAATTTCTTCAAAGAAAAGGCATCATTCATTATAGAAAATTATGTTTGAACAACCAGCGAGATAAAATTATTCTATGCTTTAGCGATAACTCGGTAGCGAAATAACGATGCAGGAATCCATTCAGTTATGTTTAGCTTTTTTTTAATATAAATTATAATAATGATCTGAAATAGTTATTTACTCTTATGCTTCTATTCAGTTATGTTTAGCCTTTTTTATATAAATTGTAATAAAAAAGTATCAAATGAAATTAACCTTTCATCTAAATTAAAACAATAATCCTTAAATAGTTATTTACTACTAGAAAGCCCGGCCGTCATACGAAATGACCGCTGTTCTAGATATTATAAATTGTAATTTAAATGATTTGTGCAAAGGTGTCTGCTAATTTAAACTGAATTACCCAGGGCAGGCGGCGGGGACGCCCCTTTGCTTACTGCCCCACGGGGTTTCCCTCTTCTACTGGCTTAATTGCTTAAAGTAGAGTGCAATGAAGGAAAACATTGGCGGTACATTTCTTAAGAACCACCGCTAGCTCAATAAATAAAGGTGATTTAAATAATGAAATGTTAATTCACGTGTCAACGATATCTTTGTACACAACATTTCTTGTGTAGATCTTTCCATCATTTTTAAGCTCGCCTTCCAGAGGACCATTAATTATTTTTAACTTTGCGTCCGTTCTTTCACGAACTCTTCAACA